CAGGAAAGGCCGTTGCACCAGCGAGTGCTGCCGCGTGGAGTAGGCCAATGTTCGGATTGCTCGCCGCGGCCGCTCTCTCTTTCAGCGCGCGCGCGCCAGAAGCGCGTGGAAAGAGAGAGGGCGCTGTGGTCGAGCGAAGCGTTGCGCAAGCGCGCGGGTTTCGGGGCGCCCATCTCGTTTGAAGATGGAAGGCCCTTGGGAGTGACGGTAAGGGAGGGATACCATGAGCAAGGACAATGGAGAATGGAAGGGATGGCAAGACACTGAAAGAGTACAGATGAACTTATGCAGTGCATTGGAGACTGGAGGAAATAATGAGCAACCTGCGAGAATGTCAAAAGCACCTGCGCGGTGACACATTCACAGCGAAACCTCTGCTCTGGAGTGATGAGAGGGGGGGTAAGGTCGAAACGCGGTTTCATGTGACGATGTGGTTTGGGTGATGACGAAGACGGATCGGCTCTCAAGTCGTTTGTTGACGTAATGCCGAACATCACACGCAATGACTCGCAATGAACATCAAAGCCCCAGGACAAATCAACGAAAGCTTAGCCTCGACGTGCCTTCCGAATCAAAAAACGGCAGCTAAAGGTTCGTTAATTGCTTGCCGAATGGCTTTCAATGTCATGTTTTTCGTAAGATATAACTGGTTTTCAAGGCTTCGTTGGTTTCTGGTCCATCCCCTCTCTCCGAGGACCCCTGCCTGGAGGGGGCGGAGCGGCAGGAACTGTCGGGAGACGCAAGAAGCTGGAGCAACGTGCTAGCCAGCGTGCCCCTAAACAATGATTTCCTACACTATATAATTATGCGGTGCAATCTAGGTGGTGCAACCAGGGTGCAAGCTAGGTTGTGCAGTCAATGTGGTACAACATATGTTGCAGAAGGCGGCGCCAAAGAATGCAAAGCAATGCCAAGCAATACTTACAATGCGATTGCAAACATGGCAGAGCAACGCAAAGCAAGGCAAAGCAATGCAAATCCGCCGATCCGGCGTGTGAGTTTCAAAGACCCTCCCCGGAAACAAAACCACATAGAAAAGAAAACGAAAACAAAACACCTCAAAACCCCACCAAAAGAGGGGTTTCAAAGACCCTCAGGTATAGTCTGAGCCTCAGATCTTGAGCTTCAGCTCTGCTGGGGGGGGGGGTGCTGGGGTGGCTCTGCCGGGGTAGGGGGAGGGGAGAAGAGGGGTTCGAGTCAATTTTGGTGGCAAAATCGGAGCTCCAGCTCACTCCGGGTCGGCCCCTCGCCCCGGAGAGCTCGAACGCGGGCTCATAAAAAAAACCCAGCGGCCGCCCAGACGGCCCAAGAGGGCCCTGAGTGGCCGAAACATCGCTCCAAGACGCCCAATATGTTCCTCAGACGGCTCCAGAGGCCTCCAACGTGCCCCCCCGAAACCTCCTGAGAGTGCCCAAAGATGGAAAATCTGTCCAATTCCCTCAGGAAAACGTGCATTTCTTGCATTTTCGCTTCTTCGGCCTTTGCAGTGTCCAACACGGCCCAATAGACCCCAAAACAGGCCCAGAGGCTCTCAAGAGGGCACCAAGTTGGCCCAAGAAGGGCCCAAGACGGCCCGGGAGGCCCTCAAGACAGCCCAAGCGGGCCCCAGGACGGGCCCAAGAAGCGCCCAAGAGGGCTCCATGACGGCCCCAGGAAGGCCTAAGACGGCCCAAGAGGCGCCCAGGAGGCACCAAAATGGCCCTAGGAGCCCCCAAGAAACCCCGAGAGGCTCCAAGCGGCCCTCAAGAGGCCCGCAAAAGGTGCCCAGAAGCGCCCCCGAAGGCTAAAAAATTACCTCCTACACACCCCCAGGAGGCCTCCAGGATGCCTCCTGCATGCCCCCCAAGAACCCCCAAAGGCCCCTAAGAGGCTCAACAATCACCTCCAAGACGCCCCCCCAGGAGGCCTCGAAGATGCGTCGTAGAGGCCCCTCAAGAAGCCCACGCAATGCCTCCAAGCTGTTTCCAAACCACTTACATTTAAACGAACGCGTTGCAAAACAAGTGTTCTTCAATGGCTTCGCCTCTTCGTCGTCGTCGTTGTCGTCGTCGCCACCGTCCCCGAACCGGCCCAAGAGAGCCCCAGAACGAACCCAACTAACGCCCAAAACGGACTTCGTACGGCACAAGAAGGTCCCAAGATGGACCCAGATGCCCCCGAAGGACCCCCATGACGGCCCCAGAAGGGCCCAAGACGGCCCAAGAGGCGCCTAGGAGGCACCATCCCTTAGGACGAACTGGAGTGGGAGGAACGGGAAGAGCACGAGGGCCACGGGGGAAGGAGGAGGGACAAGGAGGGAACGACAAGGATGCGGAAAGACTCGGACCCATATTGTTTTACTGCCTACCAAACTGAAGCGCAGCGCAGAGAAGGGAAAAGTTCACCCTGCGTTGGGGCGAATGCGTCCTTCTGACAGCGGGATCGCCCTGGATCGGCGGCACCGGCCGGAGGCCTCTACAATCAGCGCGTCAACCGCAAAGGAATGCAAACTAATGCAACGCATTGCAAAGCAATCTGACGCAATGCCATGCATCGCAATGCAACGCAATGCAACGCAATGCAATGCAAAGCAGTGCAACACAATGCAAAGGAAAACAAACCAAAGCAAAGCAATGCCAAGCAAGGCAAAGCGACGCAATGCGATTGCAATGGTATGCGATGCCGCTCAACACGATGCAACGCAATGCCACGCAGTGCAAAAAGCAATGCGAAGCAATGCCATGCGAGCACATACATGCAAGCACATGCAAA